AAGTAATATAGGCAGATACCTGCCATATGAGCCATCAAATCCTTAGTATCTACTGGAACAATATACAACACTTAACAGGAAGGGATGTGTATTGCAGCATGTAACCAGACGATAAAACATTATTGTCCAGTAACAGATGAGCAGAGAAAGATATGGCACATATATACAAAAAATGCTACCTGGATTGGAAATGAAAGTGTTCAGGCTAATTGGAAGAGGGCGAAGGCAAACACTGGATGATTTCAAAATATAAAGAGATGAACCAAAGGAACAGAGTAAAACCATGCTAAAACAAGCCCTTGAAATCTGATTGCAGGGCTGAGATACCAGAAACAGTGGTTGAGATGTGGAGAGCAGAATGAGCAATTTCTCAAAGGAAAGTGTTAGAGGATAAATGGGCTTTGGCATTGGACATGGGAGAAGAGCCTGTATGGTAGAAGTGTGTACCTACACCCCTCAATAATATATAATGCTGTAAATATAATTTTTTTAAAAAAGAAGAAAGAATGGGAGACTTGATCTACTATGATCCCTGCCAGGAGTCAAAAGGATGCCACACATAAGAAACATTAAAATTTACTTCAAACAAATTTCTTGGTGGAATATGATATACCAAATACATTAACAAGAATACCTGTTTATATATATATATATATATATATATATATATATATATATATATATATATGTTTTAAAGCCATTTTGAATGAAAGAAGACTCTAAGGAAGTAATACCATATTGTATTGATGAAAAATAATTTACAAGAATAAACACATACACACACACTGACATTGAAATGAATAATGGTATTTTAGAATGCAGAAGTAGATGGCAAGATTTTATATATCTTTGGCAAATACTTGAAAATGTTATCATGTGCAATGTTACTTTAAAAGTGAAGCATTATTAAAAACTTGAACAGTACAAAATAAAATAAATAAAACAAAAATATATCTATGTAATTAAATATAACCTTGTGTGGTAGGTGACCCAATTTTCGTTTTGACATAAAGCACTTTCAGGTGGTCATTTGAGTTCCATTTTAAATGACAATTTCATTCAGCTATTTTGCTGCTTGGTTATGTTTAGTGAACCAAACATGTCAAGCAGTTGAGGTCCATTTTAAAACAATATGAGACATGTCATGGATTTGCTTAAAATCAATAAGAAAATAAAACAATAAAGACAAACAATTACAAAGTTAAGCTGGTTATTGCCATTGTAAGTATACTCACACCAATTATTTCTGAGAAACAGCTATGTGTCCATACAGTTTAGGTATTATTAACTACTATTTTATCTTGATTTAAAAAACTACTGAATATTACATTTCAGTGGGCACTAGTTAAGCTTGACTTTTAAAATTTAATATTTTAAGTACAAACTATATTTTTTAATTTTAAAAAGCATCAAACATCAAATTTTATAATATAGAAAGTTTTGTTATTATTTCTGCTTACACCTTTTATTAGATAATGAGATGGAATCACCAACACTTTTAAAAATGATGAGACATGTTATCAAACTCCTAAAACTCTTAGCTTATGATAGTGAGTAATGCCAGAAGATTATTTGTCTGAAACTAATACTGTATGTTTCTTTATAACTTTAAGTGCTGGGAAATTATGTCTGGTTTCAAAGTTCATTTTGTATTTGGAAAACAGTAAAGTTAGATCCCAAAGAATCTATGTGGACAGGATACCACAAACAGTTCTTCAAAAGTTTTGAAACAAAAATACTTTTTTTTTTTAAGATTTATTTATTTGTGCATACAGAACTGGGGTACAGGCCAGAGGCTCAGGGGCAGTGAGAGGATTCACCAGAGACAGAGTGGGCAGCAGAACAGGCAGATCGACGAAGTACACTGCTGAGGGGAGCAGCGGGTGGGTCAGGAGGGGTCTGCCACGCCCTGTGGTCACCTCCCGGGCAGGCGGGAATGGAACTCATGCGGAAGTGGCTTTAGCTTCTCAGTGCTGTGCTTTAACCCGCTGTGCCACCAGGGAGGGCCACAAAAATACTTTTTAAGAAATCCACTAACGGCTGCAGCCAGAAAAAGATGGGTCCAGACTTTCTTTTCTTTTAAGATGTATTTATTGATTCATACAGAACTGGGGTAGAGGCCAGAGGTGCAGGGTGGGTGAGAAGATTCACCAAAGACAAAATGGGGAGCAGAACAGGCAGATCTACGAAGTACACCACTGCCGAGGGGAGCAGTGGGCGGGTCAGGAGAGGTCTGTCTCTCCGTGTGGATCACCTGCAGGGCTGTGGATCAAACTGGCACTGATGCAGCTGCGGCTTGCTTGCAGTGCTGTGCTTTAACCCACTGCACCACCAGGGAGGGCCCGTTCCATATTTTCGTGTCATTTTGTTACAGATGCATCTATCTGCAGGGAAGATGTCATTTCCCACACCTCACTTACATGTAGGCTGCTGAGTGGCCCGGGATGTGTAACACAGACATCAGGTGCACCCCTGGACTCTTGCTTTTCTGACTCTGACTTGGACCCAGGTAATTGGGGGGATTTAGGAGAAACACATAAAGGTGAAACATAAAGGGATACTCAAACAAGACTCATGTGTGAGAAACTGGTGGGAAGGCTGTCCTGAGTAGACACAGTAGCAGCAGTTACCTAGATTTTACATTCTCTTTTGTCCTTTGCTCCAGATCTTGTCATTGCCCACCAAAAGGTACTGTGGATTTGAGGTAAGCTTTTGGGCCTCAGCAGCCCTGTTTTGGTTCAACACTGTGGCTAGGCATTTGCCAACAAGAATTGGGAATTCGGGGAGTCTTATGGGAAACTATTATTAGGGTTACCTTTTTTCCTCTTTCTCTGTGCACTTCAGTTCTATTAAAGAACTTAAGAGTCTCATTCCTTTGCCTTCTAGTGCATGAATGGCCATACTTCTTAATAGTTTGGGGTTCCTGAGTCTTCCTTGGTCTTATGATGAAAATATTTTATTATCATTTATCTATTATTAGGTGAAACATACCTAACGTTTACTTGATATTCAGTACTGAGTATAAAGAAACCTGTAATCTGTTGTATTTTAAGCACAGAAGAATATTATAAAAATAGAAGATTATAGCAATAGAATAGAAGAATATTATAGAAAAATATTATAGCAAAAATAATAGAAATAGAAGAATAATATAGAAAAATATTAAAGCAAAAAAATAGAACAGAAGAATATTACAAAAAATAGAAGAATATTATAGCAATAACTTTTAAAATAAAAAACATTTTCAGAGCCCTCCTTGGTGGCACAACAGGTTAAAGCAGCACTGCAAAGCTAGCCTCAGCTGCTTTAGCACAAGTTCAATCCCTCACCAAGGTGGTGACCCACATGGCACAGCAGATCTCTTCTGTCTCACCCACTGCTCCCCTCAGCAGTGTACTTACTCCATCTGCCTATTGCTCCCCACTCTGTCTCTGGTGAATCCTCTCATTCCCTGCCCCTCTGGCCTGTACTCCAGCCCCATATGCATAAATAAATACATCTTTAAACTTTTTTTTTTTTCACTGTTAAAATTCCTATTGCTCCTGAATTTTAGACTTCACTGTATTTTAACTTCATATCTCACAAACAATAACAGTAATGAGTAAGAGAAAGACATATATTGTATAATTTAACTTTGGAGTTTCTTTCCCTCATAATATTCCTATTTTCCAACTACATACAAGTACACGAGTCTTAAAATAATCTGCTTTCACTGAATTATACTGAATATTCTAGAAGTTAGAGGCTAATGAATGCTAAGTACCCTCCCAGAAAATTCTGACCACCACCTAAGTTCCAAGTCTTGAGAGAAAGTGTTTTAAAGAACAGGGTGGGGGCCCTCCCTGGTGGCGCAGCAGGTTCAAGCACTGCACTAAGAAGCTTAAGCCACTTCCTCATGAGTTCAATCCCCGCCTGCCCTGGAGGTGACCACATGGTGTGGCAGACCTCTCCTGGCCCTCCCGCTGCTCCCCTCAGCAGGGTACTTCGTCAATCTGCCTGTTCTGTTCCCCACTCTGTCTCTGGTGAAGCCTCTCACTGGCCCTGAGCCTCTGGCCTGTACCCCAGTTCTGTAAGCACAAATAAATAAATCTTAAAAAAAAAAAAAAAGAACAGGGTGGGGGTGTCCCAACACCCAAACCCACCTGTGCTATATAGAATCTGCCATCGACAGCATCAAGACAAAACAAAATGCATAAAACCTTTAATGGAAAAGAACTTTAATACAATTAGTGTGCAATAAAGGGAAAGACAAAGGACAGTTTCCAAATCAAGGACCCAAAGTTATTTATCCCCTCTTGGGCAAACACCCAGGAAAACAGGATTGGCCCGAAGTAGGGCCAGTGAGGCCTGAAAGCCTGTCATAAGTCTGAAGCATCTCCTGGTGAGGAACCATAGAAAAGGAACAGAAGGGGCCAAGTAGGTCTCGGACAGAGTAACAAAATCAAAATCAAGAAAAACATGTTGCCATTGTTAACCTCCCCACATGTCTCTCATTCACATTTATTGCAAACAGTCCAGGTCTAAGAACCAAATGCAGCTTTTCACAACTCTCCCTGTTCCACCTGTCTCCTCCAGGCCCACTTATACTCCCCATTCTGCTTCCTTTCTTCCCCAGTCTAGACTCCAGCTGCTCTTCCTCCTTGCTCAGCTCTGCCTTCCCTGGGTGGAGCAGGGGACCTTGAACCTCCCTTTTCCTTAGCAACATCCAAGAGAGTACAAAGAGAATACAAAGAAGTAATGAAAATATAATTGTTACAAAGAGTAATGAAACCATAATTATATAATTTGCCACATTTATCACAGATCTTTCCAGGTATTTTATCCCAGGAATATTGAATTGAAAGATTTTCTACAATACTCACATTAAAAAAAAAAATACCACACAACAAGGTAAGTGATGTTCTTTTTTATTTCTTCATATGGTATATCAAACTGGTAGCTTACAAAATAGGAAATATTTGTTAAGAATGTATAACTATGTACTTTAAAGTCTCTAATTTTCATCATATCAAGGAGTGTTAGAAAATGAAATGGTAAAAATTTTCAATATGACTAAGGCTTAAGAGCTAACTTCCTCTGACATCTGTGGTTTCTATGGCATTTACAGGTGACTACAGGTTAAACGTGTCAATTTTTATTGTCTAACTGCCTTTTCCTGAGAAATCCCACTAGGGGCTTAAGAGCAGAAGATACAGTCCGAGTTTCTCCATGCATTCAGCAGCTATTCATGGGTCTTTGCAAACTGGAGAGCAGGTTTCTTTTACCAAATTAGAAATTATACAAGATGCTGAGGAACAAGTTTTCTCCACACAGGTGACCTGGCCACTCTGAAAGAAAACATTCAAATATTATCTCCATATTTCTTATGGTAAAATTACTTTTTTTTGATTTGTGTCATTATTATAACATCATTATTAACTTTTGTACATTTTGCTTTCTCCTCTCAGTTGTAGTCTCCATAAAATTCCCACCATCAAGTCACCCATGAACCATTACTTTTTAAAAAAGTTTCTCTTAACATATAACCTGAAAGACTATCCCAATACAATAAAAATCACCCACCGTTTTAAATAATTTACTGTATAGTGTTTATCAATCCTTTATTCCTACACATTTGCAGCATGAATTACAAGGCCAGAAGTGTAGGCCTTACTACTGTCTACTAAACCATAAGGCCAAGGGTCTGGTAGTTTATCAAGTGCTTCAGGCCATGTTTCTAGTGAGTCTGAAGAATAATAAGGTTAGTTCAAGTCCCAATTCTGCCTCAGTTTACTTGTGTGACTTTGGATAAAGTTCATAAATTTCTTGAAATTCAAGAAGCTCAGAGGGAATCTGGAAAATGTCAATGGATAACTAGTCAATAGTCATTCTCAACTAATAATCAGAAATCTCATAATCTTGACATTACAAATATGTCTAACACCTAGTCACAAAAGAAATTTTCTTTCAGTCATGTTTGAAATTGTAGGTTAGAACAAATAAAACAGGAGGAGGCGGGTGGAAAATTCTAGCAGCACGCACCTTACAAAAGCAACTGACGCAGTCCTCCTTCATCCAGCATTCATTGTCTTTCCTTTGAATTCCTTTATCGTCTCTACATCCTACCTGCCTCAAGCGTGCCTCCAACTTGTTTATCTAAAATAAGGAAAGGAAGCGGGAATTGAAATAGTTAGCAAGAAGGCAATAAGCAACATATTTTGATGAACTATTCAACTCTATAAAAACACAGAAGGCAAAAGAAACTTCTCTGGCAACATAATTCCCCTTATCATCTTTTCTCAAAATTTAATGACTCAATTATCAAGTGTTTAAGCTACTATCACTATTAATATTATAAGCTAATAAATAGTACCTATTACTGGGAAATAGTGACTATGATCCAAATGTCTGAAATATTTAATTTATAAAGGAAATTAAATTAACATCAAATCAATAAAAGTACATCTTTAGGAAAACTTGGTATGCATAAATATTAACCAACTAATCAGTATTTTACATACTTTTCTCACCTAGGTTATAAACAGAATTCATTAAAAAAATGTTAAGCTTCAAAAACGAAGCAAATGATGCAAGGTTCCAAGGAACTTAGTTTTTTTTTTTTTTAAGATTTATTTTATTTATTCATGCACACAAGAACTGGGGTTTAGGCCAGAGGTACTGGGTGTGAGAAGATTCATCAGAGACAAATTGGGGAGCAGACCAGGCAGATCTACTGAAATATACTGCTGAGGGGAGCAGCAGATGAGAAAGGAGAGGTCTGCTGTGCCATGTGGGTCACCTCCCTGACCAGGGGTAAAGCTTATCCTGCAATGGCTGATGATAGCTTGATAGTACTGAGACTTAAACCCTTGTACCACCAGGGAGGCCCTGAAATTTTCAGTTTGAAAGAAAGACCAATAACCTTCAACTACAAGCCAAGTAGATAAAGAGAAATATAGGAAACCAGGGAGTAAGGCTCATCACACATGGTTCTACCTCAGAGAATCTGAGGAGGATCCTCATGGGATAAAAATTTGAGCTGAGAGTGGAAACTTGACTGTATCTTTTAGGAGAACAAACAGATAAAAGGCATTTCAGACATGGAAAAATAGCATCTGCCCAAGTACAGGGGTCATAAGAAAGTTGGTATTTTGGGACTACAACCTGCTGTGGGAAGTAGAAGACACTGGACAACAAAGAAATTTTGGTCCTTAACAGCCATATAAATTAATTTCGATGCTACTGTCCCAGATCAAGGGAAATAATTTGAATGATCAGTATAATGGTGATATGAAATAGATATACTAATTATAGATGGAACTGAAAGCAGAGAAACTGTCATCTCCATGCCAGTGGTAAGAAAAGAGGCTAAGTAATTTAGCAGAAGAGGTGCTTAGAGAATGTGAGCAGAAGGAAGAGATAAGAAAACAGGATGGCTCCAAAATTCCATTTTCTAGCTAATGCATAAATGATTGTGTTATTCTTGTCATACAAGAAATACAGTATAAAAGAGTAAGAATCCATGGAGATATTAGAGATATTTGAGAGAGAATTCAGAAATTTCCAAATAATATTGTTTTGCAAGAGACCAAATTCAAGAGCATGAAATGACTAGTGAGCCACATTGCTATGGTTTGAATTAACATGTTGAAGTCCTATCCCCTGATAGCTCAGAATGTGATGACAGGCATAGACAATGCCCTAGAAGACATAAGTTAAAAATGGCTACACAGATGGAGCCTTATCCAATATGCTAAGTATCATATGCAGTGGGAAGTTCATGTGAAGATATAGGAACACAGTAACCTGCAGATAAAGTGACATCTCAGGAAAAACCATCTCTATCAACATTTTCATCATGGATGTCCAGCCTCCAGAACTATGAGAAAATAAATTTCTGTTGTTTAAACCCACCAGTCTGTGGTATATGTTATGATAATCTGAGCTGATCAGCATTTGCAACATTATGACTAAAGGCCATGGTCTCAAATGGCCTTTCTACTGTGTCACACTCTAGGTATGATCCATTATGCTTCAACTTCCAAAATGAGTATTCCTTTCAGATTCATCTGAACTCGGTTAATTGTGTAGAAACTATCCAGTAATTTCAAATACTTGACCAGGATTATTAGAGATATCAGAAATATAGATATTGATGGTTAAACATCAATAACATCATCCACAAAAATTGTGAAGATTTTTCACAACTTGAATAAGAACATTTCTAAAAATAAGATGCTTTATTATAAGACTGAGAACAAAGAAAAAAATTCCTTTATCACCCTTTTTATTCAACAATTTATTGGAAGTCCTAAATAATGTGATAAAACAAGAATAAAAATATAGAGTAGATAGATGGAAAGAAGGAAAATGTTCTTTATTCACAGATAACGTTTATCTATATGAAAAATTCCAAAGAATCTATAAATACATCATTCAAAGGTTTTCACATGTTCACAGAGTTCTACAAACCCATCACAATCTAATTTTAGATCATTGCATAACTGCAAATAGAATCCCCACATCCATTAGCAGACAACTTCTGATTTCCCTCCACTTCCACACTCAACTGCTGCTCTGTATTTTACCTCTCACTGTGCCTACTGGGGCAAATCCTATATCATGCATGGGTAGTAGACTTTCCAGCCCCAGGTGTCTTTCACTTGACATAGTGGTGTAAGGTATTTCTGTGTTGTAGCATATGTTAGTTCATCGTTGTTTTCTATTTCTGAATATTCATCATATCACATTTGTGCAGCAGTTTATAAACATTTGGGTTGTCTCTACTTTGGATTTGAAAATATCGGCCATAAATATTTGGGTCCAAGTTGAACAGAAGGCTTAACAGGGTAGCCGACTCAGAGTCTGACGCGTCAACACTGTCAGAATCCAACAGGGATGTTCTTGGGCATCACAACAGTGTGTGCATCTGCTTAGGACTGCATCTGCTTAGGACTCAGCAGATTCGGCACTGGCCTGACCCCCCTCTGCCCTGGCTTCCTGGTCAGTGCTTGTGTAGCCATCTCCACTGCTCTCCTAACTACTGAATCTCAACAGCAGGGCTGTGACATCTCTCCAGTAACATCCGATTGCTGGCTCTCTTCTTGGAGTTCTACTACTACTCTACTGCTACTTCTCTCTACTGCTTGTTGGCCCAGCTCACTCATTCCAGCGTTCTTTCAGTGTCTGCAGTCTCTAGCATGGCTGGGGAGGCTTGCTCACTGCCTGGCATTGCCTGTCACTGGACAGACACTGTGAACAGAGTCCAGCTTGGGAGTTCCCATCCTACAGTAGCAGCGACAGGCTTGCTGGACAGAAACAGCACTAAATTCCAATGATCAGTATAATAGCAATATGAAATAGATAAACTGATGATAGATGGAACTGAATGCAGAGAAACTGGCACCTCCATGCCAGTGGTAAGAAAAGAGGCCTAGCAAAAGGGGTCTGAACAGCTGCAGCCACCACCATCACTGCTGCCACCTCCACCCCTGCTGCCATCATGACAGGCGATTCTCCATGTAAATATAGGCGGTTTGCTCTGTCTTCTTCAGACATGAGTAGAAACATCTATTCAGATTGTTGCTCATTTGATTAAACATTCAACTTTATTTCTTAGAGAAAACATCTAACACAAAGTTTCCTAAATAAAAATGTAGCAGCAAGTGTAGAGTTTCTAGTTATTTCTCCCCTCTTTCATTTCTGATTATTTTTATTTAGGTTTACTCTCTTAGTGAACCCAACTAAGATTTATTAATTTTACTTATCCTTTAAAATAACCAGTTCTTTGTTTTATTTATTATTCTTTACTTGTGGTTTATGTTTGCTGTATCCTTTTTTATGTCTATTTAGTGTATTTCTGCTATAAATTTTAATATTGCCTTCCCTCCACGCATTTTAATTTCATCTTCTTGTATTAATTCATTCTATTACAGTTCGTAGTATTATTCTGTGACATAATATCATTTGACCTCAAAATCTCCCTGAAAGTTAAGATGATGACACTCCAATGATTAAATTAGCTGCCTGAGACAGTCAATAGTGAAGGCAGAACTTCCTATTGGCAGAACTTGGTCTCCTTGGTTATTCCCACAGTGCTTTCCATTTTAAGGATTCTGATGAAGTGGATGAACCTGTGCCTTTCAGAGTGATATTAATGTCTAAGAAGGATCTGACTTGAAGCCATGTCTTGAAAGAGATCACAATTTCATTTCTGAATACAACTATTTATGTTGCTATTTGTAAAGGATTCTCTCATTGAGTCCCAAATTTTAGAAAGAAAAATTACACAGACCATGAGCCAGAACATCCAAAGAGATAAGCAAAAATGGATGTGTAGAGATTTTGCTTTGAACATTTTTTTTTTCCCCCAGGGAATAGTAATTCCTAAGAGGCTTTTTTTATTTCCATTAAAAAACAATGGTGGGGGAGAAGGAAGGGAACTTGTTCAAATTATCTACATCTGTAGAGGTAAGCTGGCATCCAAACACAGCTGTTCTGAAATGCATGAAGGAGAAAGCAGTAACTCACTGAAAAGAGACCCCTGGCAGCCAGGACTCTTATGTCCTGAAGGTATTGGCATTTGGTAGACAGAAAAGGTCGACTACATCTATGGGAAGTGACTTTCATGCAATTCCACGTTCCCCTAACTCAACTCCCAGGATTTGTGTGGTTATTATTCTTGAATTGTGTTATCTTTGAAGAGTTATCAGGCAGATTTTCAAGTTAGTATTGTAATCTATACAGTAGGGGCAGTTTGCTTAGGAGGGGAGAACAAACCTGTCCTCTCAGAGTTCTGATGGTTTTTTGAATTTCTGCTGCAAAATTGCTGAAATCCTGGGCAAATTTTGTTTTTGCCGGAAGTGTCACATCTGCAGCATCTTCGTCCATGTACAAGTTATCTTGTTGCCTGTTTATACAAGGGATAAAGACAGTGTTGAAAAATAGAATGTGTTTGGGGATAAGAAAAAATATAGTCCTTAGGTACTGGGAATGTACAAGATGTTGTGATTGTATATCTGTATAACTCTAAGGAGAAAAAGATATTTCTGGAATTAGAAATTAAAATCAAATAGAATTGAAAAAGGTAATTACATCAGCTTCACATAGTTATTTAAAATGATAAGGAAACATTTCTTATGAGCTAAAGGTAATGCCACATCATATTATATAAGTATTTGACATAATATTTAGATTTCAAAGTATGTCTTTTGCTAATGAATTGTTCATTTATTTTTCCAATCATGAAAGAGAAGTGACAAGTTGCTTTTTACATGTAATGTAGCATCCAGGTTGGAATGGTGCTTAATCTATTATAAATGCATGACAAGAATTGAATTCAGATAAGAATATTCTGTTTGGCAAAAGTCTGATCTTAAAATAGATCCAAATATTTTAGTACTACTAATAATAAAAGAAAATAAAACATCATGCTAAATAAAACAAGTCAGAAGGAGAAAGACAAATGGTGTCACTTGGATGTAGAATATTGAGACATACAAGGGCCAGATAAAGGCAAACATATAAACTACCCCTTGAAAACTGTCTCTAAAGCTGAAGCATTCATAGGAGACTTTAAGGGAAAGTGTGAAAACAGAATGGGGAGTAAGCAAAATGAACGGTGTTGGAGGACTCTGAGAGCTTCTGTGGCCGAAACACTGAGGTAACACCTGAAAGGGAAAAGGGGTATATTCAAAATAGAAACAGTGATGTAAACCAACATAACCTCTATAAAAAAAATTTTAAAAAAATTAAACACAAAATTTAAAGAGAAAAGCCTTGGGCTTAGTTTTAAAATATGTTCTTTTGGAGCTTACCTGAAGTTCTCAAAAAGTAAATAATGAGTTTAGCAAATTGAAATGAAAGGGCCATCCATACATATTTATGATCCATTCTTATAAGTATTTTATATAGATTTGATTTAATTGACATGTTATCTGTGTCTAAAGATTCATTATTTTTCCAGAATTTGCTAGGAGTTGCTCCTTGTGAAGAAACTACTTTAGCTTTCAAAATTGTTCCTTTTGTTCTGTTTGAAACATGTCTTCTATTGTTCAAAAAGGAACCGTTTGCCCAAAAGAGTATGTTCTATAAGCCTAAAGAAATGATTTCTAAATCAGAAACGTTGTAGAGTTTACAGAGAGGGAATTTAGAAAAGAGAATCATTGTGAAAAACAGACATTACCAATTCCTGTGCCTTAATCACTTGAATACTCTGTCCTCTAAGACAGTGTGAATTAAAGGAAACATGAGCCCATAGTGGCTACATGCCAGCTTTTACTATTGTGTTTGTTAAAATCAATTCAAGTGTGCAGTGTTGATATGGAGAATATTAATAAAAATGAATAACATTAATAGAAATGAGTTGACACTTTTGTTTTCACAGTGCATTCTATTATCTGGTGTTTAATCAAAAATAATTTATCCACAAACAAGTTTGGAGGATTATTTGAAGATATAACCAAGATTTAAAGTGTGCAATGTGGTTATGCATGGAGTGGGTGATGTGGCAAGACCAGGTACCACATACAATCAGACAGCATACACAGGTTAGTACGTGGGTACTGTATGCATACCATGTCTCAGGGTATTGTGCTAAACTAAGGTTGTTTTCACCAGGCTGCACATGTTCTCTACGAAAAGACCAGTTGATAACCACACAGAAACCAAACATTTGTTTTAGAAAGATCAATAAGGTAATGGCTTCCGCCTGGAGTCAGAAAGGTAGAAGATGATTCTGAGAAACTTTACATAAAAGTATTGTAGCTCTTTAGCCATCGCAGAGACCACATAGTTATGTTTCCTTTGTGCCAGGCTATCAGCTATGTAAGAGAATGCACAGCACATCATTAAATCTATCCAGCAGTGTTATGAGACATTTTAGCCCTGTTCCTTATTTTTAGATGTACAGACTGTAAGTTGCTAACATGAAAAAGTTGTTAACAAGTTCATGGTATGCCTTTATTACACATACAGCTGAGATACAGACTAGGATCTAGAAGAATTAAAGAATCCTTCCTTAACCACTATGCAGACTGTTTCTCATCCAAGGAGACATGAGAGCCATTTTCAGCATGATCAGGTTTCTGTTTGGACAATTAGGAAGAAAAAAATAGAGGAAGGAGATCGGTTAGGCAGATTATTGCAGAACACTTAAAAAGAAACTATTATTTGAAATTATTATTGAAGGCCTGAAACTTTGTAAGAAAAGATAATAATGTATTGAGTAAAACCAAATTTAATTCATAAATAGTTCATGAAAGGAAGTTTCACTTTGTGATGAGTAAAGGGTAAATGCAAAAAAGCTGAATGTATAAAGCCCTGTATTGAAATCACAAACTAAATGATTTGTGTACATTGGTTGAGGGGATTGATTTTTTTTTTTTTTTTTGGTCTAAACAACTATGGTACCTTTAAGAACAACAGATTAATCTAAAAACATTGCTGAAATGGGTGCCATTACAGAAAACAAAACTTTTTTTAGTCTTTTTATCATCATATTAACAACAAACAGAATCCACGGGGGAAAATTTTGTAGTTGAGTAAAGTTTGATAAGATTGTCAGAACGCTAAAAATGAAATCAACTAATCTTTAACTTACAGAGGCAACAGGTAGGCAGAATTTCAGTGAGGCCATTTGTGTCTTAAAGGATATATAATAATATACATTAAATCTATCTTTAAAAAGTGAGTGAGACGGCCCTCCCTGGTGGTGCAGCGGGTTAAAGCACAGCACTGAGAAGCTAAAGCCACTTCCGCACGAGTTCTATTCCCGCCTGCCCCAGAGGTGACCACATGGTGTGGCAGACCTCTCCTGACCCGCCCGCTGCTCCCCTCAGCAGTGTACTTC